TAATAATAATAATAATAACAACAACAACAACAACAACAACAATAATAGGTTTCGAGGGACCAGCAGTCATTATTATTCAACCATACTGGATTTGCACCAGATATTTAGACACAAAGTAACAACAAAGTGTACAGGTTATGAAGGTCCTACCTTTATTGTGGCATCCTCTGAAGCAGAGACCATAACACTGAAAACTGGATGGAAAATTACTCTTGTGACTGGACTCCTGTGCCCACTTAATGCGTACTTTTCTGGAGGACGGGGAATCCATTCTTTAGGATCTCGCTTCTGACCAAGAGGTCCACCTGATGTAAATTCTTCTTTAGCTTCATTTAATTTGGATTCTAATTCCATAACCTAAGTTTTGGGAGAATCAAAAGGAAAAGTGAAATAGCAAAAGGTTTTTAAAAAACCCTCAAACCCTGGCTTCTTCAACAGGCTTTCAGAGTGAGAATGTTGTGGGCTACTGGCTCTTGTAATTTGGAGATTAATGAATGTCGAGTTTTGTATTTTCTCTGACACTGCATTTTTTACTGTATATTTATTTAGACTTTGAATTTGTTAACTTCATTTATGTAAATAGTATCTATAAGCTACCCAGAGTTGGTTTTGATTGGGGAGGCAGAGATGCCCTGTAAGTACATATGTGCATACAAATATACTAAAATGCCTGAGAGAATAATTACAGAACAGTCATCTCCAAATCTATATACCAAACTTCCTCAACTTCAAGTTGAGGATAATAGTGGATTACAAACCTCTTCATTCGCAGACTTCACAACAAAAGGGATTAAGGGATTAAAAGTACAACCTGTCTAGAAGGTATTGGTAGAAAGGCTGTTATACGCAGTCATGAAGTTGTGCAACATAGTTTTCTAAAAGGAACTGAATAAAAGTCAACATCTGCCTGGTTACTCTGAATCAATTCAGTCCTTTTTTTTTTTTTAAGCAATACTACGGCAAACTTTAGCTGAGCAATAGAAATCTACCATTTTCCCTTAAATATTACTGAATAATCCCATTTGTTATACCATCCCTTAATTGCCAGTATTTTCTCTCAAATCCTTCAGGTTTGTTTAAATTTTAGAACATCGATACATTTGAAAGCTAAGCAAACCCAGAGAAACTCCATTTTTCCGTAAATTCCTATACCTCTTTCAACTTGCTCAACACATATTTTGTTCAATCTCCAACTCTTTGTTATTATCCAAAGTTTCCAGAGTTGGGCCTTCTTTAAAGCAACGAGAATACATAAGCATACACACACGTATATATACACACATATACTTGTATTTTATAAAAAGAAAAGAAAGACTGCCTTTCCTATCCTGTTGCTTTAACTATTCAAAAACATGCACCCTTGGTTGCATTTAATCCTGGGATCATTACACATTACTCACAAGAAAGTAATTTCACAGTGCTTATTTGAATTACTGAATTATTTTAATATTGAAACAATAAATTAATATGTGTTTTTATACCAGAGTTTTTTGGGGAACTACTCTACATCAATATTACTTCCGGACAAGCTCTTTACAACAAAGTTCTTGAATGTCAAAGCATCCCACTCTACAGAACTCATAATTTTATATAGTAGAGTAAATGCTCTTTGGTAGAGCCTTATTTAAATAAAATTATAAGAGAGCATAGTGTTGTATGTTGAACTTGACATAGAGCTCACTGGGTAATTTTGGGCCAGTCAGCAACTCTCAGCCAACTGTACTTAACTGGGGGGGGGGGGGGAATGGAGGGTGATCTTCATTCTGTTTTGAGCTCCTTAGCAGAAAGGTGAAATATTAAGGTAAGAAACCAGTAATTAAAAATTATAAATAGTTCTTCAAAATTTTAATTTTAGATACTGCTTTAAAACTCAATGCAGCATTTTTCTTCACTGACATATCAATTTAAGCTTCTACTTACTTTCTTTTGTAATCTTATAACTGATGTCCATTTTTTTTCCAAGAGTCCAGCATATTTCTTATCTAATTCTTCATTCTGAAAAAGGAGATCAAGGTCATTAAGCAAATCATAACTTTTAAAACAGCATTTCTCCCATGCTAGGGTTATTTTCATACTACAGAAGAGAGGAAGAACAACTTCTAGTTTCATAAAAATGTGGAACTTAATGAAGAATCGCTACACATCTGTTATTGCTAGTTGTAAACATGTGTAAAATAAAAGCTATATGACTTGATTAATATTCTTATAATGAGATGAGGTTAAATGTCAGTCAATACCAAGTTTGCCAGTTCATTGTGAATAATCTGCAACACTATTACCCACCAGGAGTTCTGGGGATTCAGCAGTATACAAGTTGAAAAATCATCATTTTTGTCATCATCACCATCATCATGTGAACCTATATTGTCCTGATCAGTCACACAAACATAAGATCTACCTAGCTCAGCCATTTTTCCTGCAGCGGACAATCAGAAGCCTCCTCTGAAAAACTATAAGAAGCTCTCCAGATTGTTTCCCAGATACTAATTCTCAGTGGCAGACTTCCTGAATCATTATCTAGAAGATAATCAGCAGATTTCATGGCAGTAAGTCTTAGGCTGATACACACTGCATAAAAATAAAACTGCCACCAATGTGTCTTAAGATTATAGCTAAGAAGCTTCAGTAGATAAACCTGATGAGTAACATGTTAGTTAGGTCTATAGGCAGATTATATAAAATATGCATAATCCATAGATATGAATGCTTATTTCAGATAGGGTAAGCAAACAAGAAATCTTATGGTACATTAAAGTCTAACAAATTGGCTATTAGCATAAGCTCTCTTGGATCTCAATCCATATTATCAGATGCTTAGAGTGTTTTCCTGAAAATTATATATGTAAGAGTGTTAGGGAGGGAGAGAAGGAAGAAAACAATAAAAGCCAAGGTCAAATGAAAAATCAAATGAAGGAAGTACAGTCAGCAAAAATTACCTACAGATAATGGTCATTAACAGTTACTGGGTGTGAAGCAGATATTCTTGAATCAATGAGCTGATTAAAATATGCATTGCAGTAAGAAAACATCTCTAATACTGGGAAGCAGTACTGAAATCTCCCAATGTTTCTAGCTCAGCTGTTTTGAGATGAAAATGCTTATTCCTTTGTTTCAGGATAGTATCCATTGCTTGATTTTTAAAAATATTTTAATTCATTAAGTCATTCTTTACCTAATTCACACTCCTCTGGCTTCTCTGTATTCTCTCATAAGGAGAGAAAGCCTCCCTCGTGGCTGAATAACATAAATGTTTAGCATATTCAGGTCCTCCTTTATACCTTCTGGGAAAAAGATATTTAATGAGATTGATGGATAAGGCAGCACTCCTTTCATCAAGCTCTGTTTTCAATTACACGAACAACGAGATTACAACTAGGACTTTATTTAAATGAGATTTAGGGAAATGAAATTATAGCCTCAAGTGGATATTTTAGTAAGGAAGATGAAATTCTACGTTTTCACAGTCTGAGATTAACATGTATTTAAACTGCACGTAGTCTGGAGTCATCTGAAGATTTGGGATATTTCCAGATCATACTTAGATAGCTACTCTCCTTTCAAAAAGTAAAAGGTGAATGGAATGTCTTAATATCAAAAAAGATTAATTCATAAGGACTGCATTCTACACTGCTTAGGCTTTTTAAAAACCTAAAATATTGTATTATAGAAAATAAGTCAATGAGGTACACTTAGAGAACAATACTATAAGTATCTTCTAAAAAGTATACAATATTAAACATTAAAAAATTGCATGAAGCTGCGTGAAGCCACTGGGTGAAAGGAAAAAAGGTAAACTTGTATTAGAAAAGAAAAAAACATATTGCACAGAATATAATGCACACACATGTAGGATGAACTTCAAAAGAATAAAAAGATTAAATTAAAAAAAACTGAAGCTGTTTGTCATTTAGATTACATGAAACTATCTATTCTGCTGTGAGTAATGTAATACTGCAACTTCTTCAGTTTAAAATCTTCAAAACAGGTCAGGAGGAAAAGAGATGAAACAGGAAGCAGACAACTAACTATAAGGAAGATCTTCACATTCCACAGATGAAAATAGCATATAAAGAAAATGTGGCACAGTTCTACTGACAGAAATAGTTCAATGAAGAACCTGGAACAGTTTATCATTATTGAATAATGTCAGAAAACAGAAATTGTAGATAATATGAAACTGATACCTTCCCACACCAATTTGTTTGCATCTTTACAAGTTGTTTGGAAAAGAGTAGAAACAGGTGATGCTCCAGCAAATCTAACAGTTCTGTACAAGAACATTATCTATCATAATATTATATTTATGTCATTCTGAATTATTGGCTAATCTATTGTAATGTCACTAGTGTGCAACAATTAAATTAATCCATCTGTCATTTGAGGAATGAATTTGAGGAAAGTTTCCATTGAGGAAACTGCTATTTTGCACTCAATTTTTTTTTTTAATCCGAAAACTCATCCTTTA